ACTTGGTGAACTCCTTGTTCTGGCACTGGTTGTCAGGTTTTGTGCTGTAAATGGACCATGTGGGATTGCTGTGTTTTACCTGGAACACACTGATCTTCATAGCACACCTGAGGAAACTGGATGTATTTTGTGAAACTGTCTTTTAGGCACCTTTAGGGCTCAATGTCACCATGTAACTGAGCTGTGTGAACAGTTTGAAATGTACTTTCTATTCTTTCTTGGCCATTTGTACCTGCTGTGCTGTAATCACAGAATCAGGGAGTTGTTTGGGTTGGAAAAGCCCTCTGAGATCATTGATTCCAACTGCTACCGAGCACTGCCAAGGCCACCACTAACCTTGTCCCCAAGTGCCACATCTACATAGCTTTTCAGTCCCTCCAGGGATGGTGAAATTGAAGGAGGGGAAGTTTAGAGATTAGGAAAAAGGTTTTCCTGTGAGGGTGGTGAGACACTGGCACAGGTTGCCCAGGGAGGCTGTGGCTGTCCCAACCCTGGCAGTGCTCACAGCCAGGTTGGATAAAGCCTTGAGCAACCTGCTCTGGTGGGAGGTGTTCCTGCCCAGGGCAGGGGTTGGGGCTGGATGATCTCTAAGCTCCATTCCAACCCCTAAAATTCTGTTATTCTATGGTGACTCCACCAGACTCCACTGCACCAGGGCTGGACAATCCCAAACTGGAAGGGAAGTCTCAGGTTAGCTCTAACTGTGGTTCTGCTGGTGGTTCTTCTTTAAATATTAAGAGAATACTAGAGTCAAACGAAGCTCATTTTTGCCAAATGAGTGAAAACCCATTAGCTATGGCCTGATGCCTCCTTCCCCTGGTGCTGCAGATCAAGGAGTACGAGAAGCTGGACTCGGAGGAGGAGCGGCTGAGCCGCAGTCGACAGATCTACGACACCTACATCATGAAGGAGCTGCTGTCCTGTTCCCACGTGGGTATCCCCCAGTGCCACCCTGCCCCGAGGCAGCACTGAGCATGCAACATACCTGCCCTGTCATTCTCAGCCTCTGGCTGAGGGAATTGTTGTGACAAACACCTGCACTGCTCCCAGTTCCCATTTGAATTCCAGGGGCTGCTCTGGCTGAGTCCAGCATGTTCCTTTCTTTGTCTCATTGCAGCACTGAGACATACAGATTGGCAGGATGAGCCTGTTTTTATTGAACTTAGTGGTACACGAAGGAAATATCGGGAGGTTTTATGTTTGGCTAGAATATATATGTCTATTATGTATTTTTTTATCTGTGTTTTATGTTTCTTTAAAGTAAATCTCTGTTTAAAATAGGATGCAGTGAGTGCAGGGCGTGTGGAGAGCTGTGCCACATCCTGACAGCTTGGTTAAAGTCGCTGAAAATACTCATTTCCTCCAGTTGAACTTTTGGCCCATTGATCTGTTTTTAACACCTTCGTTTGCTCTCATTTGCAAGAAGGATTTTCAGGGTGTTGCACCCTATGGTTTGGTTCTTTGGGTGAAGGGTTAAGCATTTTTTTTATTTTTTTTTTGTTCAAAATGAATTATTTCAATGCTAAAAAGTCCATGTCTGTCCCTGGAGCTGTCCTTGTAAATGGGATTTTGCCTGGATTTGTTCAAGGAGCATCACCTTGCCCTTTGATTTTTTTTACCTTCCTCCTTCTCCCCTTCCCCTCTCCTACCTTAGAGTGATCATCTTCCTGGGTCACTCTGCATGTCTCACACTGATACTCAGTATGATGTACCTGGGGGAGTCCTTGTTGGTTTGTTCTGGGGTTGAGTGTTTCCATCTGGGAAGAGAACTCAGTGCTGTGACCTGAGATGAAACTCCTGACATTTCCAACTGTTTGTAATCTCTCTTTTTTTTCTCTTCCAAAAGCCTTTCTCAAAACAAGCTGTAGATCATGTACAAACACATTTAGCCAAGAAACAAGTGCCAGCCAGCCTTTTTCAGGTGAGCTTGCTTTGTCTGTGTTATTTCAGGAGACAGCTTAAATGGGGCTGGTTATTCTGTGCTCTAATAGTGGGATTCAAATGCCTTTCCAAGTCAAAATTACAAATTGCTCTTCTTATCTCAACTATTTTCAAGCAGATTTATGAAAGCAAACTACACCTGAGTATAGGAACAGAGAAATTCTTATGTAATTTTAAGCCATTAAATGATTTTAAGTAAATCACTTTACATCAGGAAGATGCTCATCCTGTCAGGATAGACCAAACTGCAGAGATTGTCTTATCCATCCTGGGGGTGTTTGTAGGCCTAAATGTCTCTTCTGTAAATCTGATGTATTTTTATGTGTTGCAAAAATGTGGAGGTTGCCCTTGCCTGATCTGTCTTGCTGCTCCTGAGCTGCTCTGGCTGCTGCAGTGCTGGGTGATGTCTCCCCACTAATGAGAGGGAGGTTGAGGTCCCTGTGGGCCATCACACATCCAGGAAAGGCTTTTCCCTAGAAGAAATCACTTGTGAATTGAAGGTACTGGTCTGTTGGCAAGGACTGAGAGGAGAGAAGCACTAGAAAGATGAGAGCACAGCTCTGGGAAGTTTAGATCCCACGGGGATGACAATTCATTGCTTAAATACGTTTGAAAATAGAAATTTTTCCTCCCTACCAAGACAAATCTTTAAGGTTTTCTAGCTCACAAAAATATGTTTGAAAATAGAAATTTTTCCTCTCTAGCAAGACAAACCTTTAAGGTTTTCTAGCTCACAAAAATACCAAATGTTTGACTTCAGGGCACCTGCTCAGATTCCAAAAGCCAGTTTAAGTTCAGTGCTTCACTGAGGCTTCCTAAGGAAAACCCAGGACATGCTGGAACTGGGTAGGACCTTCATGAGCTTGTGTTATGGGCAGGATTGCAATAGTCATTTGTTGTCTGCTCAAATACTAACTCTGTTTCTTCACCCTTTTAGCCATATATAGAAGAAATTTGTGATAGTCTCCGAGGAAAAATATTTCAGAAATTTATGGAAAGGTATGAACATGGCATGACCTGACCTGAACCCCTAAGGGAGGGGGAGCCAGAGCCCTTCAGCTGTGGAACAGCTCAGAGATGGGCTTGGTCAGCAGCTCTGCAGGTGTCCAGCTCTGTGCTCATCCTGGCTCGTGTCAGTGCATGAGTGGAGCACTTGTAAAGCTCAAGGATCTCTCTGAGACAGCAGTAACAGGTTGGAGTTTGACTTCAAAGTGCCAAAAGGCAGAACTAGGTCCTGGGGGGATGTTCTGCGAGTGACCATCCCTGGGGTGGCACTAGGAGTCACAGAGGGATGGGAATAAAGCACAGCAGGCACAGACCTGGCCCAGCTCTCCTGACCAGAGCTGTGTGCAGGATCTGAGGAGCTCAGTCCCACCCAGACCCTCTCTGTAAGCTGCTGTGGTGCCACTCCATGATAAAAACTGCCTCCATAAAGCTGTTGTTTCTTACTCTGAAAATAAATACTTAATTATTCATGTAGAAATAAGAAACTATTCCATCTTTTTTTTCCCCCTCTTTGCAGAGCCTGTGGTATCGCTGATGTTTTCCCTATTTTAAGATAAAATGAGTTTAAAATGTTCCTTGGAGTATATGGAGGTTCATTAACATAAATCGAGCTGCCTCTGTTTTCTTATAATTATCTTTCTCTTGCTGTAATTTAAATGTTTGTTAGTTCCAAACGTGGTTGTTTAAAAATTAAAACCCATCTGCAAGAGAACTGTGGGGACACAGTGAGCACTTACAGGGATAAGGTTATCTCTCTCTCTCTCTCTCTCCCAAGGCTGGAAAACACCAAGTGTGCTCTGCCTAGGAATTGTTTTTCTTGGTGGGGGTAGGATTACAGTTGGAGAAAGGAAGGCTGTCATTTATTAAATATCACCCCACGCCCTAGCTCAGACTTGATTTTAAATATCAGAGTCTTGACATTTCCTGTAAGACTTTACACAATAGTCTCAGACAACTTTTAAACTGTGGTTTTTTTTTTTCTTTTCTGTTCACAGTGACAAGTTTACGAGGTTTTGTCAATGGAAAAACGTAGAGCTAAATATTCATGTGAGTACTTACAAGTATATTTATCTTGTCAAAGGCTGATGCAGAAGCAAAATGTGCAGGTTTGAATCCTGCTCTGCAAAGGCCTCATTAAGGAGGGTGGTGGAAGTCTCTTGCTCTGCTATTCTTAGACTCACAGCCCTGATGATTCCTGCCTGGACGTCCCTCCTGCTGCCCTCACTTGCTGGAGGTCTCATTTTTATCAGGGCTGAAGGAACTGAACTGCTAAAATTGCTGCTCTTTCTCAGCCCCAGTCAAGCCCCAGCTCCCTTCCCCACTGCTATGGTCCCCAGCACCCTTTGAGCCCCTTCCCTTGGCCTCTGCCTTTGTCCCTCTGCACTGCTCCGTGACAGCTTGGGCTGCAAAAACAGCCCTGAATGAGCCTGACAGATTTGGGGAACAACAGCCTCATTCCTCTTGGTCCTCCTTCACTGGAGTGTTTGCAAGTGCATTGAAATGTAGACAATAAGGGGCTCCTTCTCCAACACAAAACCACTGATGAGTTAGAGCAGTTGAGTATCTCAACACATTCACAGATGATTTAGCTGTTTTCACAGTAAGTTTTTGAATGCTGAAAAATGAAGGTTTTGTTTTTGTGTTTTGTTTGCATTTGCAGCTGACCATGAATGATTTTAGTGTACATAGAATAATAGGAAGAGGGGGATTCGGGGAAGTGTATGGCTGCAGGAAAGCAGACACTGGGAAAATGTGAGTACCACACACTGCATTGCAGAGGTAATGGTAAACTCTGAACCAGTAAGGAAATCCTTCCAGGCATTTCTTAGGAAATCACTGGAAAGCAGCATCACATTGCTGTAAAGGTCTCTCTAATTAATTTGTGTCCCAAGAGGTTCTGATCTCTGGCTCATCTCTGTGCTCAGTTTATATTTGATGCAGAGGGACAGTCCCACAGAACTTTTGGGCACATCCTGCATGGAAATGTCTTGTCAAAATCAGTGGAAACTGCACTTGTGTTTAAAATTATGTGCTGAAACAATTCTCTGGCTCAGAGCCTGCCAGTGCAGAGGGATGTTCCGTGGGAGCTGTGGTGGTGGTGGTGTCAGGTGGTACCTGCTGAAGGTACCTGGTGCTGCCCTGGGGCTGGAGGTGCTGTAGGAACCAGCCCTCAGTACTGGCCAGTCCAGAGGGTTTTCTCAAGGCAGATTCTGATGCTCTTCCAGATCTTGGGAGTTGCATCAATGCCTGCCCTGCCAGATGGCGAAAGCAGTGATCCTTGCTGACATTTGGAAGGATGTAGTTCCAGGGAACTCATGTTTCACAGAGCTCTCCCTGGGAACTTCAGGATCAGCCCTCTGTGGTGTTTGATTCTCTTTGGGACCTTACCATTCCCACACTTCTCCTGATCATTGCATTGCAATGTCTAGGCATAACTGTCCCATTATGTTCTGGGTTGAACATCTGACCAGGTTGGATGAGGCTTGGAGCAACCTGGGCTGGTGGAAGGTGTCACCTGTTAGGGGGTTCAGGCCCTGGAATATTGCCCAGGGAGGAGGTGGAGTCACCATCCCTGGAGGTGTTTAAGAGGTGTCTGGATGTGGCACTGGAAGGTTTAGGGGTTCCAACAGTGACAGGTTAATGGTTGGAATTGATGATCTTAGAGGTCTCTTCCAGCCCTGATGATTCCATGATTCTACGAACATGTTGTTTTCCTAAAAATCCAGAGATGCCCATGCCTAGAAATCTGTGGAGAAACACACATGTCTTTCTTGCTGTTGTCTATTACTGGGCTCATCCAACCTCTTGGAAAAATCCCCAGCCCATACCATATCCTCCTGTGGTTGATGGTTGTTAGGGTAACATTCTTCTTGAGCAAAATTTTATTAATTTGTGAAGCACAGATGGTAGGAGATTAAAAAAGCTTTGGTGTGTGTATCTGACCTTTTTCTGAGCAGAAAGAAAACTTACAAAAATATATATATATATCTAAAACTCAGCGTGTGTTCAAGATATTGGTTTCCTGCTAGGGCTGAGACTGTTGGAATTAGATGGAACCAGAGCAGTCTCTGTTATTTAATTCCTACTGCAGCTCTTTGTTGTAGGTATTAAAAAAATGAATGTATGATGTGTAATTTCTACCTCACTGTGCTGGTTTGGACATGGAGTTATTGGTTAAATCATGTTTCTCTGTTATGAGGCTCCTGTTGGAAATGTGTTCATTCTGGGAGGGTTTAGAGGTTTCAGGTTTAGCCTGAAATGATGTTTTTAGTCCTGGATTTAAGTATTGCAGGAGCTTCACAGGATCCTGTACATGTGCATGGCCTGGTGAATAATGCTGATTTTTTTTTTTTGGGTGCTGTTTCTGAATGGTTTTTATTTTCAGGTATGCAATGAAATGTTTAGATAAGAAGAGAATCAAGATGAAGCAAGGAGAAACATTAGCCTTAAATGAAAGGATTATGCTGTCTCTTGTCAGCACAGGAGTAAGTATCACCAACTTGTTATCCCTTCTCCCATATAATATAAAAGCTGTTACATATAATGCATATTCCATCAGTTCACTTGTGTGACATGCAAAAATGAGCCCCCACTGGAGCCTCCCCCTGATTCTAGCAGTGTGTCTGAAATGAGAAGGGAGAAACAAGCCTGTTTGGCAGTTTGGGGGATACAGTGAGTGTCTCAGCTGCAGAGGCTTGAGGGGGTGCCCATTTCTAGGTAACTCATTCTCCCCCTCCTGAGTTTTGATATATTCTTTTTTTTAAAGTAGTTCTATTTGAAACTTCTCCAAAACAGGAGTCTGTCTTGTATAAATGACTCGTTTTTTTTCTGTAGTTAGGTAGTAATTGTGTAGAATATGGGTGCTATTGGAGAGAAATCTCCAGTTACCTGTTCATCCTCCCTTTCCTGGGATTCCTGTGACATCATCCAATCTTTCCCTTTTGTTTATGTGCTTTAGCTGAGCACCTATCCAGGTGCACCAAGCGAGTCTGTGCACCTAGTCTACTGAAAAATCAAATTCAAGTGGAGTTAATTAGAATGAAAGTCTAATGAAAGCTGAAAGCATCAGGAGTGTGTGTGCACAAAGCCACCTCCCTCCTGCCTTGGCTCCCCCAGCCTGGGCCCTGTGCTGATGATCAGACAAGGCCCAGGCAGGGCTGGAGGTGCAGAGCCCTGGGAGAGCTCTGCCCTCCCTGCACAGCCCCTGCAGTTCGCTGGGGTCTCCATGGCTACGGGTGATGCTGCTGGGAAGGCTCATTTTGCTCACGTTGTGGGGTATGAATTAGACACTAAATGTGGGAACACATCCCCTTTTCCAGCAGGCTGAGAGCATGAGCTTGTGGGATTGTTGTAGGATTGTGCTACAGGTGTGCAAGGAGCATAAATGCCTGCAGTGCAGGGAGTCCTGCTTTGGCTTCTGGAATGACAGAGAGCACACACTGTGCTGTGTTCCCAGAGACCAGGGATGTGTCTTGAGGAGATTAGGGAGTCATTTCACTGGGAAAGACCTTTAAGATCATTGAGTCCAGCTGTTATCCCAGCACTGCCGAGCCCACCACTCCCCCAAGGCTCCAGGGAGACCTTAGAGCCCCTTCCAGTGCCTAAAGGAGCTCCAAGAGAGCTGGAAAGAGACTTGGGACAAGGGCCTGGAGGGACAGGACACAGGGAATGGCTTCCCACTGCCAGAGGGCAGGGCTGGATGGAATATTGCCCTGTGAGGGTGCTGAGGCACTAATGCAGGTTGCTCAGTGAAGCTGTGCCTGCTCCATCCCTCAAAGTATTCCAGTCCAGGTTGGATGGGGCTTGAAGCAACCTGGGCTAGTGGAAGGTGTCCCTGCCCATGGCAAGGAGTGGAATGAGATGAGCTTTAAGGTTCTTTCTAACCCAAACCACTCTGGGAACTGTGATTTACCAATGAGACTTTTCAATCAAATTAACTGTTGTCACCAGAGGTGTCACCCAGGAGTGTCAGGAGTCCTGAGAGCCAGTGGGGGAAGGTCTGTGGCAGAGACTAGACAAGAAATCAAGGCAAATGAGTAATAATTGTCCCATTAACTTTAATTTGTGATTGTGTGGCTCCAGCACTTAATGTGAATGTTCATGTCTAATGATTGGAAGAGCAAATTGTTGAGGAGCTGCTGGTGGTGGAGGCAGCACTCTCACATGCCAGCACAGCCAGGCACTGAGCAATGAAGCAGCAAGAGAAACCATTTGTTGCTTTCATTAGGGGTTATCAGCTCATTAGAGTGAGATTTCTTTTAGATTCTCAGACATTTGGAAGAGTTTGGAAAGAGAGGTTTTGTGCAAAGTGCTGCCTGTGCAGGTTAGGTACACCAGGGCAGGGGAGGCTGCAGCACTTGGCATGTGCAGAATGAAATAGGTTTGAAAGTGGTGGAATAAGATGATTCATTTACAGAATCCCAGAATCATTGAGGTTGGAAAACACCTCCAAGACCAGGAAGTCCAACCTGTGACCCATCACCACCTTGTCAGCTGAGCAGAGCAATGAGTGCCACATCCAGTAGTTCCTTGAACACCTCCAGGAATGGTGGTGACTCTACCACCTCCTTGGGGAGCTCCTTCCAATGCTTTTTACACTACTCAAAGGATGATCCTTAGCACTTCCTGAAATCCCTAGCACTAGTTATTTCCTTATTAGGAAAGACAAAAATATCATCAATTTCTAGTTGAAATCTTGGCCTTGTTCCATTGTAGATGACTAACACTCGTGGCCTGAAGAGACATCTGACACTCATTTATTCCCTGTTATTTAGGTCACTGCAACAGGTAAATTCTTAGAGTTCACCAGTATTTTAAGTAGTGCTTTAGCCAAGTTTAACCACTTAGATCCACGTGTGGATTCTCCACACAGAGTTTGATCCCTGCCTAGGAGCTCTGAGGTTCACGTGGCACGTGCCGTGCCCGGGGACAGGAGTTCTGTGCTGCCCAGAACAATATGGACCTGGGAAGTTCATCACAGCACAATTAGTCATTTAACTGGGAATCCAGATGTCTCTGCAAAAGGCATAATAACAGCTGTGCAGATTACACAGCTGGTTGTGTAATCAGCTCTGTTAATCCACCTAAAATCCTGGCATTCACCACTGCTCCTTGAGCTCCCACGTTGGCGTTGCTCGTGGCTGCATGGGGAGAACAGCTTTCCATGGCCTCATTTCCAGTGAACTTGGGAGTACAACACACACCTCTGCAGAGCCCCCAGAGATGCTTGAATGGGCCTGATAGCACAGTACTGGGCTCTGTGGGACTCAGGTCTCCCTTGGTGTCTTTGCTTTGTCACTGTGGGTGTAACGTGAACAAACTGTCGCTGAGGTTTGTGTTTCCTCTTCTGCAAGATACAGGCCCTGTGTTCCCCCTCCCACAGAGATGTTCAGGCTGGAGGCTGGAAAGGCATTGTGAAATCCTTGGAAGGTGAAACAGCAGGGTAAAGATTTGCTTTCTGTCAGAAAAACCCACGTTTAATTTCTGTAATGGCCAATATTTGCCTCTTGTTCAAAAACTGGAGCATGGAAGTCACCAAGGCTGGTGCTGCTTGGTACCCTGCTCTAGCTCACAAGATGCTGATGGGTCACAGGTTGGACTTAATGGTCTTGGAGGTCTTTTCCAACCTAAATGATTCTGTGCTAATGGACTTTATAAAACCAGCTAGCCCCAAGGTGCCATTTGTGGAAGGAAGTGATTGCTCTACGTATCTTTTCCTGGAGGCAGCAGGGGATCATTGCAGCAGTCAGTTGCAAGACCTGGGGCTGTGCAGGGCTGTGGCTTCAAGTTCTTTCCTTCTGAAGAACCTCATTGCCTTATCCATCTCTTCTTGAGATAACTTGACTAATGGCTGGATTCAAGATTACTTCCAAGGGAGGATAAATATACCCATAGAATCATGAAATATCCTGAGTTGGAAGAGATGTCCATGATGCTCATCCAAGCCCAACTCCTGGCCCTGCTCAGGACACCCCAAAATCCCACCATGAGTGGGGACAAGCTGAGCAATACCACCTGGGATGAAGGATGTGTTTTTCTCTGAGCAGGAGAGACATTTTGTTTTCCAGAGTTTCAGGCAGTGCCTGACACACCTTTCAGAGCAGTGAGACATGTCAGGACAGAGCTGCTCCCCAGGGAAGTGGGACACAGCTCTGAGCACCTGTGTCCCCTCTTTGCTGTCCCTGCCCCAGAGCCACAGGTTTCCTTCCAGAGCACTTGTTAGTGTGCTCATGCCTTTAATATATCGCATTCCTACAATGTTTTATGGTTATTGTCATAATTTTTTTTGCCTTTCACATGATTTATTACCAGAAATTTGACTTGAACAGTTTTCTGGACTCAGTCCAGGGTTGTTTGGATGTGAGGAACTCTTTCCAAATTGGTCTTAATTCACACAGCATTGTCATGCTGTCGCTTGTTTTTATCACAGCTTCACTGCAACCAAGAATTGCTCTCCTGGGAAAGAGGATTTATTGCTTTGTGTGTCATCTGAAAACAACTATAGGCTGTATTTTTAATTTTTCTGCTCTTTTGCAGTGGTTTTTGTGTCAGAAAAATATTGCAGTGCAGTTGTTCTCTCTGTTAAGCAGGGAGATGGCAGTGATGACATTAGGAAAATGTCTACAAAAATGAGTTGTGCATCACATTTACACTTCCAGATTACTTTTATTTTTTTAAATCCACAAAAATATAGGCATGTTACGTTGTGGTATAGTAAAATCCATTTATTTGCCTATGTATAGTGTATGAATTCTACCAGTAAATCCTTCTGGGTAATTGGATTGCTCTGAGATTTAGGAATCCTGCTCGGGGACACTGCTGAATTACCCAGTTGATGCAGAAAATTAAGTTAATAATTCTACTAAAGCTGTTGTTGGGAAGCTAAGTGGTAGCTGCAATAGTCCCCACTAAAGCTGATAACCAGAGGTGTATCTGGTGTGAGATGCCTCTGCCTTGCCTCCAGGCTCCTGGTTTTTAGCACCATTTAGGAAGTTGGCATTTTTCATGGATGCTCTGCAGGTGTTTCACACCTCTCTGCCTTCTGCAGGGATTATTTCTACAGGGGAGTGTTTGGGGTTGTGTTTGCAGAGTTAACTATCACATACAGTTGGGTTTGAAGGGCAGGGCAGGATGTGTTCCAACTCTGGGGAGGTCACTGGGGTTACACTCAGCCCTATAAAGCTTTGTGTTTCAGCCTTCTGGTTGTGCCTCATGGAAGGATGAACCAACTTGAGCTGACTGGCAGTGGGGCTAGTGTCCCTGTCCCTCCCTTTCCTGCTGGCTGAGGCAGCCCCAGGATGGACCCGGTGGCTCCGGCGCTGCCCAAGGCCACCGTGTTTTGCTGTTTCTATATTGGGAAGGGAACAAGTTCCTGTCAGAGATTCCCGGAGCTTTCACTATCAGTGCTGTAGCACTGAACACATTGTGTCAGCCACGTTAGGTCAAGCTCGTGCTTCCTGCAGGGTGTCCTGGCTCCTCAGCTCTTGGGCTGCTCTTGGGTCATCTTCCTGTTGGCTTCTGTGGGGTTGGACACGGAATGGCACGGCCCAGCCTGGCTCTGCAGCCCAGCTGGTCCTTCAGGGATCATTGCAGACTCACCACATGACCTGGGGTCATACCAGGTCCTTCTAGTGGAAGATATCCCTGCCCATGGCAGGGGTTGGAATGTGATGGTCTTTGAGGTCCATTCCAACCCAAAGCAGTCTGGGATTCTATGACTCTGTTCCATATGGCTTTGGAGAAGAGGTTGATGAGGTAATAGGCAATCCTTGTTAATTAGCCAAGAGCATCCTGTGTAATAGTGTGTCCAGCAGTGACCATTCTTCATGGAAAGGGTTGTCCAGCCCTGGCACAGCTGCCCAGGGCAGTGGTGGAGTCACTGTCTCTGGAGGGATTTAACAGATGTGTGGATGTGGCACTTGGGGACATGGTTAGTGGTGGCCTTGGCAGTGGTTGGACTCAGTGGTCTTAGAGAGGTTTTCCAAGCTAAACAAGCCCATAATTCTATGAATTAACCACTTGCTTGCAGCATGGGCCTCATGAAGAGGAAGCTCTGTCAACCTGCCACTTGTCAGACTTTTGGAATAAAGAGGTGTTTTTCCAGCTGTATTTTTTTGTGGCTGCTGGTCTTAAACCTCAGGGTGAATTGAGGTTTAGGTGCATCAAGGTGGGGGTGTAATCCATCCCTGCACCTGGGTGCTCTGCAATGTTCTCCTAAATCTGCACTCACTGACCTTGTGCTGTGGGTTTTGCACAGTCTGGATGTTGCTGTTCCTGCTACCTGAGCACTGCACATGCTCCAGAATCCCAAATTCCCTCCTAGTGTATGTATGTTCCCTTCAATCCTCTGTTGGAAGTGCTGCTGGGGAACTGAGGGTAGGGCACCTCAGCAGGGCACAGGGGTTACCAGTGCAACTGCATTTCATGGCTGGATGAGGGTGGAACTGATCATGATGATTGGTAAATACCACAGGAAAAGTATCAGGTGTATTTTTAGCTTCTCTGAGTAGCCCTTTGCTTATTGCCTGAGCTGACCTCTTTGCTCTTCCTTTCCAGGACTGTCCTTTTATAGTCTGTATGACCTATGCCTTCCACACCCCTGACAAACTCTGCTTCATTCTGGACCTCATGAATGGTAAGCAAGACTCGTGCACATGATGATGACGTTGATGAATTTTGGCAGGAGGATTGCTGAGATCATAAGGAGAGTGAGGGAAAGATAACCTGAGGTGTGAAGTACTGAGCTGAATTTAGATTCAGCTCAACCAGAGAATGTAGAGAGGAGACTGGAAAACCTCTTACCTTATATCATTAACGTGTTGAAATAAAGGTATCAAAGGGCCTACTGGGCTGGAAGCTTCAGGAAATGATGTGGAGAAGTGTATGAGGAGATCAGGGATGTGGCTACCAGGATGAAAATAAAAGGGATGCTATGAAGAGCTCTGCAAGGAAAATTGAGGGGGAACATTCCTCAGGGGAAGGAAATTTCACCTGGAAGCCTTAGCGTAAGTTGGAGAACACAGAGAGAGAAATTGGCAGTGAAGAAGAAGATTCTGCAGTGACCTTACTTGCTGAGGATGCTCAGCACTTGTGGGTCTGACTCAAGCTCTGACTGTGATCCTGCACCGAGTCCCTCAGTGTTGGACACATCCTGCTGCAAAACTGGAGATGTAACTGGGAAATAGAGCTCATACCCTGGAAGTAACAGACTGGCTTTAATGGTTTGCAAGGAGAGATTCTCGTTAAGATCTAAGCCATGGGTCAAATCCAAGGAACTGGTTGGTTATTTTACATCTGCAGCTCGATCAGAAGCAGTTTTCAGGGAATGTTCAGCACTGGAAGTGGTGTGGTTAGCTCACAGTGACACTGGATTGTGCCTGCTTTTCAATGAGGAAGGTGTGAAAACATCCCCAGCATGAATAGTTGAGCATTTTGGCCCAGATGACTTTTCATGGTCCCTCAAGCTTGGGCTGTTCCATGTGCTGATTTATTCACTTCTCCACAAACCAGTCTGGGGCTGCCTTTGACTTGCTGTGGAAATCCTTGGCATTAAGTCTCAGTTGTTGGATTAGTCACTGGATGCAAATGGCTATGAATAAATATGTTTTAAAATGGAGTTTCATGTTGATCCGATGTATTTATTAAGTTTCTGAGCCATTGTGCCACCACATGGACTTGCAGAGGGCAGGGCTGGGTGTCTGTGTGCCCCACAGGTGGGCAGAGCTGTTCCCCACAGCATCACCCTATCTGCCTGTGGGGCAGGATTTTCCTGCTCTTCTCATTGCATCTCCTTTCTTCTCATTTCAGGAGGAGATTTGCACTACCACCTCTCCCAGCACGGAGTGTTTTCTGAGAAGGAAATGAGGTTTTATGCTACTGAGATCATCCTGGGCCTGGAGCACATGCACAATCGCTTCGTGGTGTACAGAGACCTGAAGGTAATGAGGCAGCACATCATCCAAGCTCTCTGAGAGCTTCCAGGGATTATCTCACCTGGAACCTTCTCTTGGGAAGATTATTTCTTTATCTGCTTTACGTTTGTGATAACTTTTCATAATAATTCTGATCTGTAATGTTTATTATCCAGTTTAACTAGTCTGACATTCTGATCTGTGCTGTTTATTATCCAGTTTAACTAGTCTGAGAGAAGCTTCCTTGGGGTCACAGTAAATCCTGTGCAGTGTGGCTGAGCTCACTGCAGAAGAGAAGGTTGTGTGGAGACCTCAGGGCAACCTGCCAGGAGCTGAAGGGGCTCCAGGGAAGCTGCAGAGGGATCTGTGTTAGGAGCTGCAGTGACAGGACAAGGAGTAATGGGGAGAAATAGAAAGAGTGAGATTTAGGTTAGATTTTAGGCAGAAGTTTTCCCTGTGAGGGTGGTGAGACACTGGCACAGGTTGCCCAGAGAGGCTGTGGCTGCCCCAACCCTGGCAGTGTTCACAGCCAGGTTGGATAAAGCCTTGAGCAACCTGCTCTGGTGGGAGGTGTCCCTGCCCAGTGCAGGGGTTGGGGCTGGATGATCTCTAAGCTTCATTCCAACCCCTTAATTTAGGAGTCAATGAACCATCTCAATGGTGTGAACAGTTTGGAGAAGATACTGGATTTCTGGGAGCCCTGTCTCTGTGTGTGTGTGATGGGAAACTAACAGAGTTGCTGGGAGAAGTTTCACTGACAGTTGGAACATTGAGGAGTGTCCCTGAACCAAGTGACAACAAAAGGAGACAAAAGTCTGCACAGAGATTGCAAATAAAGGGTGTAAGAGCCACACACAGACACTGCTGGGAGAGAACCAAAAGCAGCATGGATTTGAGGCAGAAATGGATGTATTCATTTCTCGTGTCCTTTGTGTTTCACACCTTGCCTGGCTTTTCTCTTCTGCTATTCAGTACCTCCTAGTCTGTGGAGCTGATGGTGATGCTCTGCCAGAATGGAGGTTTTATCTAGGAAGTGTCTGGTGCATTGATGTTGACTAACAAAAAGCAATTACCAATTAGCAGAGGGTATTGATGTTTGAGTCACTGTGCTGTGAGAACCTGCAGTACTGTCAGATGTGAAATCCCAAGCAATCACCTCCCTGTGTCTGATCTGCAGCCTGCAAATATCCTGCTGGACGAACATGGGCACGTGAGGATATCAGACCTGGGCCTGGCTTGTGACTTTTCCAAGAAGAAGCCACATGCTAGTGTGTAAGTATTGCCTGGAGCTTTCCTGCATGGACAGGTAGTGCTAAATACAGCCTGAATTTGTCTTTGTGGTTTAACTTTGCCTGAAGGGGAGAAATGACACTTGTGTGGCCCAGGCTCGCTGAGCTGGAGGCTCTAAGGAGGTTTTTTGGTCTCCTCTCCCTGTTTTCCTGCACACTTGCAGCAGCTGATGTGTAGGCATGGCTGGGAGATGACACATTATTTCGGGATGATTCACTGCTGAGAGAAGAACCTGATGGAGCTGAAGTACCAGATTGTTTAATTGTCCTAAAGGGATAATTAAATATTCCAAAACTGACTAAAAACCTGGATTTATTGTGTCTTCTCTTTCTGGATCTTTATAGAACTGGAGGCTTATTATGTTCCTTTCTGCCTCTTAGCATAACAGGGGTCTGAATTCCTGGGATTGTGTGTGGATTCACATCTCACCTGGCACCTTTTACTCTTAGGTCTTTGTTTGCCCTGGTAGAGCCTCAGAATTTATGCAAAAAGGAAAGCCCCAGCCTGTCATATCTTATAAGATTTGCAATTCAGTAGCTTCTTGAAAAGGTTCACACAGTTTGGTGATGTCAAGGGTAAAGGGAATACCTGGTGAGGGGAATGGGAATACCTGGGGAGGGGAAAGGGAATACCTGGGGAGGTTAAAAGGAATATCTGGTGAAGGTAAAGGGAATATATGAGGGTATAGGGAATATGTGGTGAAGGTAAAGGGAATATAGGAGGGTAAAGGGAATATTTGGGCAGAGTAAAGGCAATACCTGGTGAGGGTAAAGGGAATATTTGGTGAGAGTAAAGGGAATATTTGGTGAGGGTAAAGGCAATGCCTGGTGAGGGTAAAAGCAATGCCTGGTGAGAGCTTCTCATGGTGAGCTGAGTGCTGAGTTCAGAGGAGAAGCTACCCAGGTGTAGCTCCGGGGAGATAGGTGAAACCCATTGAGAAGCAAAGTAAAATCCTGGTTAAAACGAGTTCTCTTTAAGTGAGTCTGTCTTACTGAGCAAACACTGTTTTGACTGTTCTCTTCCAATGGCAGTGTTGGCTGTAAGGCAGGTTTTGTGTCTCTCCCCAGGGGCACCCATGGGTACATGGCTCCCGAGGTGCTCCAGAAGGGCACAGCGTACGACAGCAGCGCCGACTGGTTCTCCCTGGGCTGCATGTTGTTCAAGCTGCTGAGAGGGTGAGTGAGTGAGGGCTCATGGCCTTTTCCCTTTCAGCCTGGGCCTCCTCCTGGTCTGTCCCTTGCAGTGTTAATACAATGTATTACAGATGATCTGCAGTGATCTGTGACTGCTGACTCTGCAGCTCAGACCACATCTGCACGTGAGGTTGAGCCAGGCTGTTCCTTCCACACCAAACCCAACCCAAACCAAGCTCTGCTGCTTGTGCTAGCTACAGGTGTGGGGCAGATACTCTATCTGCTCTTTTGACTGCTACTGACAGCAATTTACTCATCTCTTGGCAGCTGTCAGTGTTTTAAATCTGTGATGTTACTCATTGCTGAAGTACTCTCAGCTCTGGTAAATCATGGGCTTCATTCTCTGCCCAAGACCTGCTGTGCTGGTGAAACTCTTGGCTGTTTCCTCTTCATGTGATACTTCCCTGCTGCAGAGTTTGGGTCAGGTACAAAGTGTGGATCCTTCCCCTTGCTGGATCTGGGCTGTTACATATCGGTGTCCAAAGGTACATGATAATTACAGCTTTGTCAGCAATTATCTCCTCATTAAACTTCTGTGTCTGGGTAGAATTGATTAATACCATGGGATTTATCTGAGCAGTCAACAAGCACTGATGGGCAAGTGCTGGTTGAAAATGGCATCCTCAGTGTTAATGGCAAACCAGAAATCTTTGGAGCTCTTCACAGTGCTGCTCTGTAAAGAGATGGTCATTAGATCATCCTGTGTCCTCAGCATAATTGATTAGAAGCTCTTACCTCTATCCAGACACTGTACAAAGCAGGTGAGTCTGTGATTTATGAATTGAACTCTGGAGCTGTATCAATTTAACATTAAGTGTGCACAAAATAGACGATGTAAGAGTGCAAATAAAGAAAGAAGTGGTGGTGAAATTGCCCCAAATACCCATTTCTGAGCACAGACAGTGTCTGGCAGCTGGGATTGCTCTGCTGAGCATTCACTGAAGAGGTCTGTAGGTAGCAGTGGATTGGGTTTGCTGGCAGGAGAGAGGAGTGTGTCTGTCACACACATAATCCTGGAATTATTTAGGTTGGAAAAGACCTCCAAGGTCATCGAGTCCAACCTGTGACCCATCACCACCTTGTCAACTAGCCCAGAGCACTGAGGGCCATGTCCAGTGGTTCTTTGGACACCTCCAGGAGTGGTGACTCCACCACCTCCCTGGGCAGCACATTCCAATGCCTGACAACCCTTTCCATGAGGGAATGCCTACTGATGTTCCCTGGGCAGCACACTCCTTCCAGTGACAGCCCTTTCCATGGAGAATTTCCTCCTGATGTCCCACCTGAACCTCCTGTGGCCCAACTTGAGGCTATTTCCTCTTGTCCTGACCCCACTTGGCTGCACCTCCTGGCAGGGAGTTGCAGGGGACAGTGTGAACTCCTCATCCTGTCTTTGAGACCTTTTCTCTTGAGTCACTTGGGCACAGAGCATTAGGATGTCTGACTGACTGTGATGTGGTCCTTCCTGCTCAGGATTGGTGGTGTGTGATGAACGTGGCCCAACTTGAGGCTATTTCCTCTTGTCCTGACCCCACTTGGCTGCACCTCCTGGCAGGGAGTTGCAGGGGACAGTGTGAACTCCTCATCCTGTCTTTGAGACCTTTTCTCTTGAGTCACTTGGGCACAGAGCATTAGGATGTCTGACTGACTGTGATGTGGTCCTTCCTGCTCAGGATTGGTGGTGTGTGATGAACACAATAGCTCCTAGGGATGAATGATCCCATCTCCCATGGACACTGGGGCTGGACAGGGAGATCTCAGTGTCTGGGGCTGTGATTCTCCCTGATGAGCCGTGTGGGGTGGGATCAGTGGTCAGGCAGAAGCTAGAGAGTTATTCACTGTGAACTGTCCTTCCCCATCTGTTTTGAAGCCAATCAGACACTCACATCCCAAAACAAAGGTTGGGCACATGGTGCCATTTCTTGATGTTTGGTAAATTGGGCACAAAGTCTCCCCATAAGTCCCCAATGAATCATTTGCTTCTCTGATCTACTCAGAGCTTCATTGTTGGAGTACTTGAGGCTGTGTGGGAGCCATTTATTCTTACTTGTCCTGCTTGAAAACAGCCAAGTGGAAGTCCTGGTCTGTCCACCAGATTCATTGATGAGAACACTTTGAGGATGAAAGAGAGATAAGTGTGGAGTCTCCAGCTGAAACATGCTCGTACACACTGCCATGTGGCACGACAAAATGCTTTGGAGTAGCTAATTAATGTAATTGAGAAGTGAATAACATTTTGATTTTGAAAAATATCATCCCCTCAAGGTTTTGAAGAAAACTAAGAAGCAGGGAATATATCCCAAATCTAATTAAGCTATCTGATTGTACAGTGCTGCTCCTTCCTTTCATGCTGGTGGTGAGGGACTGCGTGGTAAATCCGTAACGTTCCACGGGCTCCAGAGCTGAAAGGAAAAGTCAGACTCACACCAGATTATTATTTTGTATAAATTATTCTTTGTGTAAAGCAGGAAAGGCATAAAGCTGATAATTTACCAGCGGATCTGTGATTATCTTCTCTTTCATCTACTTACTTGAAGGTTTTGCTTCATACAGAGGAGTGGTGAGTTCTGTGAGTCATCCTCAGTTTCCTTGTGTAGATCCATGTTTTTAATCCCTGTGTGTGATGGTTGCTTGGGGTATCCTTGCTAGGTGAAACTTGTGGGGTTTGGTGAGGCATTTGAAACACATCTTTAAGGACACTGTGGAAGTGGATCAGGACAGGATTGAGGAAGGGGAAGGATGGGACTAACAGGATGCTGCTCTCTGGCCTGGGATTGCCACAGCTGAAATGGCCTGCTGTGGTATGGCTCTACATTTATTAGTGCTTTTCCTTGTTTCCACAGGCACAGTCCTTTCAGGCAGCACAAAACCAAAGATAAGCACGAGATCGACCGCATGACGCTCACCGTGGTAAGGGGCCTGGGCACAGCCACATTCCCTGTGCCCATCCCACTCCCATTTCCCCCAAACTCTGGGACTGCACACTCCAGAGAGCTGCATGTGTATGTGGCAGAGCTGCTCACAAACTCTGCCAGAGAGAAGAAAGCTGCTCACACCACTTCCATAGTCAAATACCTTTGGTGCTTCCTTTCCTCCTAGAACGTGGAGCTCCCAGATTCATTCTCTCCCGAGCTGAAGTCCCTTCTGGAAGGACTCCTGCAGCGGGATGTGAGCAAGAGGCTTGGATGCCAAGGAAGAAGGTAGGTGTTGTCTTCTCCTTGGACCACTGCCTTGAAAAATTTCCACTTCTCTGTCAATGAGCGAATTCATTTCAAGTGCAAATCTGCTTCCTGTTGTGAGGGGTTTAATTT